AGACACAGGGAACTATAGAGAGACGGGCAGGGATACACACTTGGGTGGCCCAGTCAGGGGACTGGCTCTCACACACAGACACAGAGAGAGGGAAGAGACGAGCGACCGATTCCTCCGCACGCGCGAAAGCGGAGATCGTGAAAACCCATAAAATGAGGGAGCCTGGCAGACATGCACACGCACGGACACATGTTGGCACAGAGACATACACAGACCCGGCCAAAGAGCGACATCGTCCAGACGCAGGGACAGATCCCAAGAGGGAAGCCTGAGAGCGGAGCGCTCCCACTCAACACCCGCGCGCGCACGCACACACACACCACGCACACACACACACACACACACACACACACACACACACACACACTCGGGATGCAGCACAGGGCCGCAGGCACAGCGTGGAGGGGTCGGGGGGAGGTCCCCAGCGCGGTGAGCGGAACACGGGTGGGCGCCTCCCGCCCCTCTCCTCCTGGGCAGCAGCCAGCCTGGGTGGGCAGGCAGGCGGGGATGGAGCCCGGGGCGCGGGGGGAGGGGAGGAGCCCGAGGAGGATGGCCGCAGGCTCCCAGCAGAGCCTGCGGAGTGTCGGGATCCGAACGCGGAGCGCGGAGGCGGGGATCCGGGAGCGGGGATGGGGTCAACCAGCCTGGCCCGGGCCCCAGGGCTGCAGCACCCGCCGGCCTGGCCTCGGCCGGGCTGTCCTGCGGAGGATCCCCGGCGCCGGCTTACCGTGCACAGAAGGCTCCGGGGAGGTCCGCGGGCTCCTGCCCGGTCCAGCGCGCTCCGATCCTGCCCCAGCCCCCCGACCCTGCTCCGTCCCCGGGCTCCGGCTCCTCGAGCCGCCCGGGACTGGAAGGGCAGATGAGGAAAGGGGCCGGAGGGGAGGAGTCCGCGTGCGGGGCCCTGACGCCGCGCGCGGCCGGGGCGGGGCCGGACTCCAGCCCCGCCCCCGAGGCCACTCCCCCCCTGCCCCGGATGCGGCGGGGGAACGGCCCAGCTCGTGAGCCGGCGGGGCGTGCGTGGCGGTGCGGGAGGGGGAGCGTCTGCGAGCGAGCGAGCTAGCGGAAGCGGGGCGCCCCGAGAGAGGGGCGAGGGTCGGTGGGACTGGCCCTTCGTGGCCCCTAGCTCCCCCTGGCCGCGGACACTGCTGTCAGTGAGGCACACGTGGCTGGATCCCGCTTGTCTGCGCCCCCGCGCTATCGAGATTTTGTGGCAGGACCTCGGGAAACCCGAGTGCTGGAAGCAACCTTAGAACATAGAAAATTAAAGCTGGCAGAGAGCCTAGAACGTGGAGTGGCGGATATGGCGGAGACCTTAGAAATCTTCTGTTCCAGTCATATCATTTTACGCACAAAAGAAAGTGACTTGACCAAGACCACACAAAAAGTTAGTTGAAGACCAGAGACTATCTCCGTGATTGCATGTATGTGATCTTTGCACCACAGCCTGGAAAGGTTATTTGGACCAACGCCCAAGGTTCTGTCCCAATGCAAAGAACACTGCTTTGGGAGTCTGGAGAGCTGAATAAACAAGGCGTCTGCTGCGTGCTAGATTTAGATATCCCTATGCAAATATTCAGGGAACTGTCTGCCCTTGAAACGCAGTTCAGCGTTCCAACCCAAGGCTCCTCTAGAGGCAAAGGTCAATCTGGTAAGCAAAAATACCAAGCGTTTTGAGAAAACACACAACCCTGAGTCTTTTACAAATGTCTCCACTCTCAAAACAGTCCCACTTATTGTCTGCTGTTTTTGAAGAGCCATTCCTTGGAGTAAGAAGAATGTTGTTGGGGGTGGCTAGGTGGCCCACTGGATAGCGCACCGGCCCTGAAGTCAGGAGGACTTGAGTTCAAATCCAGCCTCAGACCAAACACTTGACACTTACTAGCTGTGAGACCCTGAGCAAGTCTCTTAACCCCAGTTGCCTAAAAAAAAAAAAATTAAAAATGATGTTTTAGGCCCAATAGAAGAAAGCCCTACCTTATACAGTGGGGATTTTCATGGTATTCACTGACCTAAATGGACACATGTAAATGGTTTCATCAGGAGTTTTAGATAAACACATGAGTATTCATTGTTCCCTTCTTTGGACATCAGTTTCTTGACTTGTAAAATGGGGCCATAGCAATAGATTTCTAAGGCTTCCTCCAGCGATGATGGTCTATGTTCTGAGGTCAATTCCAAGCTTTGACGCGATATATATATATATATATATATATATATATAAGGGTTTGTCCAGTTCTGCAGTGCTGTATTTTAAGGTTCCTCTCACTTCGCAGTCTACATTATCTAAGGTCTCTCCCAGCTCTGGCATTCTATTTCTAAGAGATGGCTCTTGACCATCTTACCATCTTGGTTGTCCTACTCTGGGTGCTCTCCAGCTTATCCATATGCTTCTCAAATTCTGGTATCCAAGACCCAGTTCAATATCCAGATGCGATCTGACAAGGCATATTGCTAAATTACTGAAAACTCTGTTTCTCAGTGCAGCTTGTGAACTAAAACACCATCTTTTACAGGGAACCTTTTCCCACTTCTCTTAATTTTAGTGCCTGTCCTCTGTTAATTGTTTGCCCATTTTCAAAGAAGACGAATGACACCATAAGGTAATGCCTTAACTTGTGAATTGGATTTAAGTGACACAGAGCTGCACAAAGTCATCAGCCTCACTGTCTCTTCCAAAGTCATCAAAGTCCAGTGGAAAGACAAAAGTCAGGATGACGGATGGAGCCAGGGTGCAGTGGATGAACTTGGCTTCTTCAGTGTCTACCCAAACTCTAAGTGTCTGCAGTGCCTGCTTCAGCCATCACTGTCGCAATAAATTGTCCTCATCCACCCATTCCACCTGAGGAAGTCTTCACATGCTTGGGGTAGACATCCCCTTAACTCAGTGACGAGTTTGAGGCCCATCAGTTACATTCAACCTGGTTTAGTCTGCTGAGTTAGTTTTACTGGGCCATAGCCACTGTGCATGCTATAGCTTCTTAGAGTCATAAGTGACGGTTGGGTGACAGGTAGACAACGAAAGTGGACAGCTTGGCTCTCAGCATCCCTCATACCAGAGATGCTTGCCCTCCTTGAACACCCATATACCCTGTTAATTATGTCCTATTTATCCTAAATACAGTTTGTTTTGTTGCATGTTTTCTCCCCCATTTGATGAGAAAGCAGCCCCCCCCCCGGGCAGGGACTATCTGTAGCATTTTTGTATGCCCAGTGCTTAACACAGTGTCTGACACATGGTACACACTTAAGAACTCTTATTGACTGATTGGCTTTGACTTTTCTGATGGCATATCATGTACTGACTCATATTGAGCTTGCAGTCCACAATGACCCCAGGTATCTTCCCAACCGTTACCCAGCCATGCCTCATCTGGTTTTTTTTAATGGATTTTTTGAACTTACAATGTAAAACTTGATATTTGTCCTTGTTGGCATTCCATATTATTAGGTTTAGCCCATCTAAGGTGAGGGCCTTAGTTTCCACTTGGGTGCATAGAAGGGTTAGGTCTTATTTTTACGTTTCGTTGAGTTTTGTTTCCTCTTTCTGATGGTTCCTCCTATTGGTTTTAATTTTTACTTACAACTTCACTCATGTGAAAATATGTTTAATAGGAATGTAAATGTAAAGCCTATATCAGATTGTGCACCGTCTTGTGGAGGGTAGGGGGGAGGAAGGGGGAGAAAAATTTTCAACTCAAAAGCATATGGAAGTGATTGTTGATAAATCAAAATAAATTAATAAAATTTAAAAAAAAAAGAAGGGTTAGGTCTCAGAAATTGAAGCAGGAATCACTAGGTCGGCCTGGTGCAACCTCAATTTTGTGGTTTGCATTCTTGGATGGGATTGGTTGGGGTGGAAGGGAGATAGGGCTCAGCGAACCCACTACATCTTTGTCAGCCCAATGAGTTATCCAAAGCAAGGGTAGAAGGGTACAACCGAAGCAACCCCCTCCACCATGTATCCCACCTTAAGTGGTGATTCTATGCCTTACCAGCACCTAACCACAATAGGAATCAAAATCCATTAAAGAGCCATATTCAAAAACTCCTCTCCACCCTTACCTGTACACTCTTCCATGCATGTACATACACCCTTTTGTCTATGCCTCCCCCAATCCAGGTCTGTAGTGAGACAGTATCCCTCTCCTCATTTTGTGATGTCACAATGATGTCAAAGAATTATGTAAATACATGTGTAATTTCCAGGATTTTAAGATCATGTCATTTGAGAATTGGAATTTTAGACTCAGAGTCTGGGAAATACGAATTTAAGATTCATACAATCTTGGAGGCTGAGAAGCATAGAATTTTAGAGACACAGAAAGTCGGAATCATGGGGTTTTAGAATAATACACATGAACTCTTGGAATCATAGACAACCAATTTTGAACATAGACTCTTAGGATATGATGTATGGGGATATTTTAGGGTTATGATAATTCTAGGAACACAGAATCTTTGACTCATCAGATTTTGTAATTCATAAACTCGTAGAATTGTAAAATCATGGAATCTTAGAATCTGAAATGTCCTTGGATGTCATCTCATCCACCTTCCTAGGGGTAGAAGGTAGAAGTGTATTGGGATAGCACTCGTGCGCATATGCATATGTGAGTAGGGTGTGAAATACTGATAAAGTAGATTGGCCCCTCACTGACTTACAAATGTTCATTGTCATTTTATGGACCCAAGAAGATTAGGTAATAGACTCCAAGAAGCCTGGAGAATAGGATATGAGGATCCCAGATCTAGAGATGGAAGAGACCTTCAAAAGTCACCCAATCCAACCCCCTCATTTTACAGATGAAGAAACAGAGCCCCAAAGAAATTAAGTGACTTGCCCAAGGTCACAAGCTACTCAGAGGCAAGACTGGATTCAAACCCAGATTGTTAGACTCCAATGCTCTTTCCAGTGATGATCTCATGGCTAATGGCGCAGATCACTTCCTAGGGACAACAGATTCCAATAGAAAGAATGGGTTTGGGGCATGGAAAACTTTTATTCAAATTGTCAAGAGTGTGTTTAGGCACAGTGGAGGGGAGGGGGTGAAAAAGCTGGGACCTGGGCAGCCCATCGCCCTGAGGCACACAAATGACTCTCTACTTGGTGTGAGCCTCTCAGGCTTTGATCAGTTTCCCAACACTGGGGCCATGTTCTCACTTAGGCAGACTGGTGGGGATGGGGAAGCATCCCTTCTGGTGCCACTGCATGTCCCTAATTCTACGGACGGACTGGATCTGGGGCTGGTAGGCAGACCACTCATTCCAGTGCTTGAACTCGCCTGGCTCAAACAGATATTGGTAGCCTCGGTAGCCAGGGTACTGGTAGCCAACCCATCTGAAAGAGAAAGGAGAATGGGCTAAAAATGGAGAGTCCTTAGGCTGGCATTGGGGTCCTTCTGTGGTTGTCCCCATCAGAGCCAATCAGGCAGCCTTATCACCCATTGCCCCCCTCCTCCCAAGCCAGCCTGAATGGCCTCCTCCCTGACGCACAGACAGGCCAGGCTCATGGCCCCTCTTTACCTTTTGCTCATGCCTGTTCCCCATATTTGCAATGATCTCGATGCACTCTTCTGAATTGCTTGCTTCAAGCTAAGCCCAAGTTCTACCTCTTACATAATTCTTTGTATATAGGTCCTTACATTCCTCCCCCTTCCAGGTCCTCCTCCTCCCCTCTGAATTCCTAGTGCGTTGTTTCTGTAATTCATTTGTCACTGAAAATATACTTCACAGGTTTGAGATAATAGAATCTAGACTACCAGAGATGTGAGAGTGGGGATCAGGGTTCCAAGAGTGGGGAATGTGAGAGCTAGAAGGGACCTTAGAACAGGCGGTGCCAGAGCTGGGAGGGGTCTTAGAACTGGGAATGTCAGAGCTAGGAGGACCCTTAGAAGAGGGGATGTCAAAGCTGGGAGGGGCCTTAGAACTGGGAATGTCAGAGCTAGGAGGACCCTTAGAAGAGGGAGTTCCAGAGCTGGGAGGACACTTAGAACTGGGAATGTCAGAGCTGGGAGGGGTCTTAGAACTGGGAATGTCAGAGCTGAGAGGACCCTTAGAAGAGGGTATGTCAGAGCTGGGAGGGGCCTTAGAACTGGGGATGTCAGAGCTGGGAGGGGTATTAAAACTGGGAATGTCAGAGCTGGGAGGGGTCTTAGAACTGGGAATGTCAGAGCTGGGAGGGGCCTTAGAACTGGAATGTCAGAGCTGGGAGGATCCTTAGGGTCCTAGAATATAGACTATTAGAGCTAACTGGGGCCTTAGGGACAAATCTAGTCCAATACCTTCACTTTACAGATTAAGAAATTGAAGTCCAAAGAGCAACTTCCCAAAGTTCCCTAACTAATCAGTGTCAGAACCAGAACTAGAACCCAGATCTAGAATGAAGGGCCCTGTGGCTACAATACTTACGTGCCACTGGGCACCCTCACGCTGCCCACGCGGTCGCAGAAGCCATAGGCCCAGAGACTGGGCACATCGTCCTCATGAATCTCCATCTTGTTCCCCTTGAAGTTAGTACATTCGAACAGGCAGATCTTGTGGTCTAGAGAATCCTGGGGTGGAGGAGAGAAAGGGGCTAGGGCCTCAGGGACTGGAGGCCTAGAAGGGGGGTCAGAACCATGGGCCTTCAGCCTCTTTAGTTCCACCAACCCTCATGTCTTCCTCACTTACTAGAAATGTACTAGGGATACCGACTCATACCCTGCCTTCAAAGGGCTCCTAGTCTCATGAGGGAGGGATAAGTACCCAGATAATTATGATAGGAGGGGAAGAGAATAAGTACAAAGGGAAGGCAAAATATTAGGAGAGATTAGCTGGGAGAGAAGGTCTGAGCAGGAAGGAAGGAAATGAGCATTTATTAAGCACCTACTATGTGCCAGGCACTGTGATAAGCACTTTACAAATATGACTTCATTTGATCCTCACGACAGCCCTGGGAGGTAGGTGCTGTTATTTACAGATGAAGAAACTGAGGCATGCAGAGGTAAGGGAATTGCCCAGGGTCATACAACTAACAAACAGCTCAGGCCAGATCTGAACCCAGGTTTTCCTCACTCCAGGACCAGCTCTCTATCCACTGCATCATCTGGCTGCCTCCAAGAAGGAAACCTCAAAGGAGAGATAGAATCTAATTCAGGCCTTGTAGGAAGGAAGGATTTTAACTAGGATGAGATAGGGTGGTCTATGGTGCAAAGTCTACTGAAGGTAGAGCAGTAATGACCATTTGATGCCTGGGGCAACTCATTTGCTACCAAGGAGGGCCCAGTATAAGAAGACAAAGAGCAATCCAAAGGATTGGTGGGGGTGAGGGGAGTTGGGGAGAGAAGCAGGGGTGGTTCTAGCTAATTACTTGCTAAGCTCAGTCATTTCTACATTTCATACTATAAGCATCCTAAGTAGCCCCCTACATTCTGGCACCCTGGGGCAAAGCTCTGGCCACCCCCACCCTAGTTACAGCACCAATATGAGGCCTGGGGGTGGACTGACCAAAGATACAGAGAAATTGATAGGAAGAATAAGAATGAGGACAGCAAATAATCCAGAATTACAGAATTAGTGAGTTAGAAGGGACTCCAGTAGCCATCTTGACCATCTTACCATCTTGGTTGCCCTACTCTGGATGCTCTCCGGCTTAGCCATGTGCTTCTTAAACTCAGGTTTAAGGTTCCTACACAATTCATACACAAAAGGAACCCTCATTCTAACAGACCCAGCAAGTGATCCTCCATTCTCTACTCGAAGACTTCAAATGAGCCCTTTCCACTTGGGGATGGCTCTAATTCTTGGAAGCTTTTCTTTACATCAACCCCAAATTCACCTTTTTTTATTTTTTGCACCTTCTACCCATCATTCCTGGTTCTGCCTTCTGAGACCACCACCAACAAAGATGTCAATGAACAAAGCTGATCCCTTCTCATCTTGTCAGTCCCATAAATACTCAAAAGCAGTTATCATGTGTCCCCTGAGTCTTCTCTGTCTGTAGGCAAGCAGTCCCAGGTTGAGCAGGAGTGGGGATTCTGCAGCCTCCAGGCCACACGTGGCCCTCTAGGTCCTCAAGTGCGGCCCTTTGACCGAATCCAAACTTCAAACAGGTAAGGCCATTATCCAAGCTGAGGAACATAGATTTAGAGCTAGGAGGGAATTTAAAGGCCATTGAGTCCAACACTCTCAGTTGACAGTTGAGGAAATACTAGGTCACGTGACGTGCCTAGGGTGACTTGGCCAATATGCGTCAGAGACAGGAGTTGAGCCTAGATCTAGTATCTATGCACTCTACCTACCGACCCTTGGGTGGGTGGGGGAAGGGTTAGCATCTTCAGAGATGTCTCCAACTGTGTATGAACAAGAGAGGTTATTCCTTGGCCCTTTCCCTCAACTAAGAATTTGTCCCCAGGTGCCCTTTTCCTTATTATGGCCTCAGAACATCTTGCCACTTGCCAGTCTTCCCCTTCATTGTAGATAGCTTGCCTGAAGCCATGTCTGAATGACTCCACAGCCAGACTGCTCACCATTCTGACATCCTGCCTCTTGAAGCTTATCAATATCTTTTCTAAAATATGGTGTCTCATACTCAACACAATAGTCCAGATATGGTCTGACTGAGGCAGAGGACAAGGGAGCCATCCCCTCCCTCCTTGGGGACTAACCAACTTTTTGGTCCTCAATACATACTCTTTGTTTGAGTGACTGTCTTACAGAGGCCTGCCTGGTCTCCCCATCTTTCCCTTTCCTCCCACCTCCCTTCTCTAGGTCTCTCTTTTTGTCAAGCATCCTGTCTTCAGTTCTGTGGCCCCCCAGCTCTCACCATCTTGATGGGCCGGAAGGACATGAGGCAATCACTACGGTAGCTGCAGGACCAGGTGTCCCATCGGGGATACTCGCCCTTCTCCAAGATGAACATCTCTCCCCGGAAGTTGGACTGCTCAAAGGCCACCCATCTGTGCCAGTGATCCAGTGGACACAAATCAACGGGGCAGGAGGCATGCAGAGAAGAAAGAGGCCATTAGCAAAAGCCAAACAAATCCAGCAAAGTCAGCTTGGGGAAGGAGGAGTGCGTTAGGTGGGGGAGTAGGTGGGCTGCCCTTCTTTATTTCTGGATGGAGAGAGGATGTAGAATAGTGTTGTAGGACAACTTGGTGGGAGGAGAGGATCGCAAAGCATCTATAGGCAGTGTGTTCCTAAGAAAACCAACAGCATGGGATTGGGAGAATGGGATCTGACTGCTAGGTCTAACTCTGCCACTGAGCAGCCATGTGACCTGGACCAAGCCACTCCAAAGTCCCTCTGGGTCTCAGTTTCTTCATCTGTAATATGAGGAAATTAAACTACAGCAGGGGTCCTGGACATGTGTGTGTGTGTGTGTGTGTCTGTCTGTCTGTCTGTGTGTCTGTGTCTGTGTCTGTGTCTGTGTGGAGAACCCTTTGCCAGTCTGCTGAAGCCTATAGACCTCTTCTCAGAATAACATTTTCCAATGCATAAAATAAAAAATGCATGAGATAACACTTCAAGGTTAAAAATGCTCTGAGACTCTTGAGGCATCCTATATTGAAATACAGTTAGCAAAATATATATTTTGAAGTTTGAGGACCCCAGGTTAAGGACTCCTGAATTAGGGGATTGTTAAGATCCATTGCCTTGCTGCTAGTGGCTTATGGGCTATGTAACTCCATCCTTTAAACTCTGTGCTGGTGAACTGAGTTCCAAGGAGAAGCTTGAGAAGGAGAGAGAAGAGGGGAAGACCTAGAACAAATGAAGAAAGTTACAGGGAGCAAGATTTCAATTTTGGATAAGAATGATTTTCAAATCAGGTAACAAACACGCTTTGCAAACCTTCAAGCTGTCTATGAATGCTAGCTAGCCCACCATTCTTATTCTTGGTACCATTCTCATTCTTATATTTTTGTTTTGAGGAGGGTACAGACCCAGATTTGCTGATTTCATTGATGAGGGTAAATCCCAAGGAAGGAATTCCCTCTACCAATGCAGACCAGCACATGCTTTGCAGAGAGTTGCCTGATTGGGGGGGGCATGAAAGAAGTCTTAGAATCATAGATTTAGAGCTAACGGGGACCTCAAAGGTCATCTAGTCATCTGGGCAGCTGGGTAGTACAGTGGCTAGAGTGCTGGGCCTGGAGTCAGGAAGATTCATCTCCCTGAGTTCAAATCTGGCCCCAAACACTCACTAGCTGTGTGACCCTTGGCAAGCCACTTAACCCTGTTTACCTCCGTTTCCTCATCTATAAAATGAATTAAAAAGGAAAATAGCAAACCACTCCAGTATCTTTGCCAAGAAAATCCTGCAAAGGGTCACAAAGAGTTGGACAGGACTGAAAATGACTGAACTGACCCTTCCCCATTTTCTTCCTAGTCCAACTCCCTTACAGGTGAGGAAACTGAGGTTTGGGGTGGGGGTGGGGGACTTGCCCAAGACTGTGCAGTCAGCATGTATCAGAAGCATTACTTGAACCCAGGTTCTAGACTCCGTCTGGCTCTCTGTCCATTACTTCTGATAGTGAAGATATTCCTGACATTTGGAACTGTCCAACAAAAGAATTCACCTTTAGACAATGAGCTTCTGAGAGCATCAGGCTGTAAGCTTTTAGCTTTCAAGGGGGTTTTAGGGGTTATTTAGCCCAAACCCCCAGTTTTTCAGATCTTTGCAGAATTGCCCAAGGCCACGTGGGTAATAAGCATCTGAGCCAGGAAACAAACCAAGGTCCTCTGCCTCCAGATTGAGTGTGCCCATCATCCCATCGCGCACTTCCACTACTGACAGAGAACATGGATGTGGGGTGATCTCCCCAGGGCTATGCTTATTTTTGCTCTCTGCTTTCCAAGAGGAGAGGGGCCTTGGCCACAGCCTGAGTCACCAGGCTCAGCTTTCCTGGTTGGCGAATCATCAGTCTTATTTTTCCCCCACCATGACTTGCAAGGGATCAGGTGTTCTGGAAGAGTGAAAACTGAAATGGAGGAGCTTTGCCTCTGACCAGCCTCGTCTGGAGCCAACAGGAATCGTACATAGGTCATTCGTTTACTGCCTCTAACTTAAAGGCAAGAGTGGAAAAGAGCCCTGCCCTGGGCGAGGAGGCAGCAGACCTGGGTTCTAGCCCCAGCTCTGCCATCGATTTGCTGTGTGACGTTGGAAAAGTCACTTCTGAATCACTGTAAGGGGTCTGGAAGCCCACTTTGCCAGGAATATCATAGAAGGGAGTCAATACAGTAAGAATGGGTTTGAACCAGGAGATATTATCTCCAAGGACCCCCTAAATCCCAGAAATGGATGATTCTATTATGTGACCTCTTCCTATGAGGGCATTTGTGTTTTCACAGGGAACCTTTAAGCCAAAGGAAGAAATGTCTAATGGTAGAATTTCAGGGACCTTTTTGGTAGGAGCTATTTTAGCAGGGGGAAGGTCCAGGGGGCCCTTTGCTTAATTTGCCTGAGTCTCCAATATCTTAATGAACCTAAGCTGGGGTATGCGCTCCCTAAATATATGCTCTCCTTAACTGTTTTCTCTTACAGGACCCCGAGACTTCCTCACTTGGGCTCCCTTCACCCTGGGTTTTGCATGTACTTCTGTCTCTGCAGAAAGAAAAGGTTTAGAAAGTGGAGACAGGACACCCAGCCCAGCTGGGGAGCCCAGCTGAAGTCTGGCCCTGAAAAAGTGCTCTAGGTTTGAGTCACCACCACAGAAATAAGTTTCAGAAAACTAAACAGGCCTTAATTTAGCCTTCCACATCTCTGAAACCTCTGTCCCTGGCAGAAGCATAAGGAACAGAAAACTCGGGTAGACCAGGGGTAGTGTTGAGCCCAGGAGGTTCAGGGGCTGGGACATTCTCTGAAGCTGGCTGCCAGGACCCACTGTGGCCAGCTTAGGGTAGGAGAGGATCTAGAGGCCAAAGTTTCTGTTCTTCAGTCTGCTCTCAATTGCTGTCCTCTATGGGGCAAAAAGTATAGAATGTCAGAGGTGGGAGCGCCCTGAAAGCAGAGAATGTCAGGGCTGGGAGGGACCTTAGAACAGGGAATGTCAGAGCTGGAGGACCTTAGAACAGGGAATGTCAGAGCTTGGAGGGGCCTTAGAACAGGGAATGTCAGAGCTGGGAGGGGCCTTAGAACAGGGGATGTCAGAGCTGGGAAGTGCCTTAGAACAGGGAATGTCAGAGCTGGGAGGACCCTTAGAACAGGGAATGTCAGAGCTTGGAGGGGCCTTAGAACAGGGAATGTCAGAGCTAGGAGGGGCCTTAGAACAGGGGACATCAGAGCTGGGAGGGGCCTTAGAACAGGGGATGTCAGAGCTGGGAGGGGCCTTAGAACAGGGGATGTCAGAGCTGGGAGGGGCCTTAGAACAGGGAATGTCAGAGCTGGGAGGGGCCTTACTTAGAACATGGAATGTCAGAGGGGGGAGGGGTCTTAGAAGAGACAACATGAGAGCTAGGAGAGGCCTGAGAACATGGGATGTTAGAACCCCGGAGAGCACTAATTAAAATCCTTCATTTTACAGGAAAGAAACAGGCCTATAGAAAGAAGACAGATTGCCCAAAGACACAGAGTGAGTCAGTGGCAGAGGCATTGCCCAAACTCAGGTCTTCATAATCTCCCAGTTCAGTCCTCTTCCTCTGGCCATGGAAGGTGGGAGAATGAGAGGGAAGGGGGTGGCATTTGGCTGTGCCCTGGGCTGGACACAGAATCCCCTGAGTTGTGACCACAGGAATGTGTGGCAGGGCCGGGCCCGAGACAAAATCATGACGGGGCAAATTTCTGATCCTATGCCACCCTTTCTCCAACCTCACCCAGATACCACGTCTTCCTCTCTGCCTTTTAATGTGCCTTCCCTGTCTTCCTGTTCTGCCCTGCAGAAATCCCTGAAAGGGACAACTGTCCATCTCTGCAGTACTTGGCACAGGACAGCCTGGCCTCTTGGCTGACCTTGAGTGGAGCTCAGTAAGTCTCTGGGGTTAAGCCCATGTCCTGACTGTGATAGAGAGGCTCTCTCCCAGACAGCAACCCTTCTCCTCCCAGACCCCAGGTGGTCCCACTCACGGTCCTGAGATAACAATGATGCTTCGAACTCGATCAAATCCTCGGTCTCCCAGATTCATGCATTCCCCTGAGAATTCCACACGGCGGCCTTGGAAGTTTTCCTGATCGAAGACCACCAGCTGGCCAAACCACAGGGAAGAAAAGAGGTCAGAGGGAGGCAGTGGGGGAGACAGAAACAGGATGGCACGTCTCCCATCTTAGAATCAGGAACCCTTGAATTCAAACCACACCTCAGACACTAAGTTTGTGTCTGATCCAGTCCCTCAAGCTCTGTGCCTCAGTTTTCTCATCTGTAAAATGAGGGATTTGGACCTAATAGCTATTAAGATTTCTTCCAGAGCTGAATCTATTATTCAATGACACATTCCCCTAATCTCTCCCTGATTTTTAGGGGGGAGGTGACATAGATAGACCTGCCCCCTCCCAATTCTCTCTTTGTCTTCCTCTCTTGAAGATTCAGAGAATGTTAGAGCTAGCCCATTGCCCTCACTTGATAGATGAGGAAAGTGGGGCCCAGAAATGTTCCTAGGTCTGTGGTCATAAGGCCACTAAGTGTCAGAGCAGGGACACTTTCTGGGTCTTTCTCCATTTTGCCCGAAGCTCGCCCATTCTTAAGGGCCCATGTCAAAATGCCATTTCTTTTGAGCAGCCCTCCCAGCAGATCAGAACCTCCCAAGGAGAAAGTAAGCCCCTTGAGAGTAGGGAGTATTTTCATTTCAACAATTTAATAAACCCTTGAGAAGCTTCGCTTCTACCAGGAGCATATAACATATATACAAATATTCAGTCATTTTTCAGTCATGTCCAACACTCTGTGACCCCATTTGGGGTTTTCTTGGAAGATACTGGAGTAGTTTGTCATTTCCTTCTCCAGCTCATTTTACAGATGAGGAAACTGAGGCACACAGGGTGAAGTGACTTGCCCAGGGTTGCATAGCTAGTAAGTGTCTGAGACCAGATTTGAACTAGTGCTTTGTATATAGTAGGAGACTGGTGGACCTTGGGTCTGGAAGGATTCTTAGCCTTCTGTGAACTCAAAATTACTTCCCTTTCATATCTTGAAGCTCCAAGGCTCTGTTTGAGAGCTGAGTCTTACAGTATGCTCTTCCTGATTCCCTCTCCCCGCCAAATTGCTAGTGCTGGCCCCTAACATCACTTTGTATTTACTTCTTGACACATATGTTGTTTCCAACCAGCCAAAAATGTCCCCTTCCCCTGGATTAGATTTCTGCAAACCAGCTGTGTCCACAGATGGTCTATTCTACTCTTTCTTTAAGCCCCGAGCAAGATTCAGCCTTCTGACCCAGGGAGCAGGGTAGAGATGGAGGAGGGGGAGGGTTCCATCAGAAAATATTTCTCTTTTCCTTCGGAGGGGTCTTTAGAAATCTCCCCAAATAGCCTTTCCCTTTCCTTCCCCCCTCCCACTTCCCAATTTCTGTGCTCCTGTGGAATTCATATCAAACAATTACTTAAGCACCAGAGCTCTGGTTTAGATGGTGAGGGAAATAAGGAAACGAGACAGAATCATGGGCTCTTGGAGCTTCAGGGGGTCTCGAAGCCCAGCTAGCCCTCCATGTGTCTGAACCGGGATTTTTCTAAAACACCCCAGACAAGTATATGCTTTGTCACTGATCAGTTGTGCCTGATTCTTTATGTCTCTGTTTGGGGTTTTCTTGGCAAAGACACTGAAGTGGTTCGCCATTTTCTGCTCCAGCTCATTTTACAGATGAGTAACTGAGGCAAACAGAGTGAAGTGACTTGCCCAGGGTCACACAGCTGGTAAGTGTCTGAGGCTGGATTTGAACTCTGGTCCTCCTGACTCCAGGGCTGGTGCTCTATCTACTGCACCACCTCACTGCCCTATATGTTTTATAGAATCATAGATTCAGAGCTGAAAGGCACTTTAGCAGCCCTGAGTCTATCCCCCTCAATATACAGATTAGGAAACTGAGACAGATAGTGGTGAAGTGACTTGACCAGGGTCACACAGTTAGTAAGCGTCTGAGGGGGGATATTGAACCTGGGTCTTCCTGACTACAGGTCCCAGTGCTCTATCCACTACTCCATACTACTTCCTGTGGTCATTCTTTGGTCCATCCTATGGTTTGAAGGCCTCCACTGAAGGGGAACCCAGTATGTTTGAAGGAAGCCCGTTCTTATATGAGATAACTCTTCTTGTAAAAAGCCTAAGGGCAGCTAGGTGGAACAGTAGATAGAGCTCTGGCCTTGGAGTCAGGAGGACCTGAGTTCAAATCCGGCCTCAGACTCACGACACTTACTAGCTGTGTGACCTTGGGCAAGTCACTTAACCCCAATTGCCTCACTAAGGAAAAAAAAAAAGAGAGAGAGAGCACGCCTAAATCTGCCTTCATGGCAATTTTGACCTTTCCTGTCCAGTTGAATATGTTTACGTTCTTTTTCACATGACCACCCTTCGGACACATGAAGGCTACAATCATATGTTCCCTGAGCCTTCTCTTCTTCTATATAAACACCCCCTCCCCCCATCCTTTCAACTGATTTTCATGAAGCATAATCTCAAGGGGGCAGTGGTTAGAGCGCCAGGCCTAGAGTCAGGAAGATCTGAGTTCAAATCTGGCCTCAGACACTTACTGTGTGACCCCAGGCAAGTCACTTCACCCTGTTTGGCTCAGTTTCCTCATCTATAAAATGAGCTGGAGAAGGAAACGGCAAGTTACTTCAGTATCTCTGCCAAGAAAACCCCAAATGGGGTCACGAAGGGTCAGACACAGCTGAAAATGATTGAACGGCAAAATCTCAAGACCCTTCACCATCCTGGTTGTCCTCCTCTGCCCCTCCCCCACTGTCCAAAATCCAGCTGTTAGAAGTGAGCACACTAATCTGGATCTGACCTGACCGAGATCATAGCTCTAGAGTCATAAATGACCCCAGAGCCCATCTGGTCCAACCCCCTTATTTGTAATTAGTTGAGGAAACCCAGAGATGTTAAGTGACTGGTCCAATATCACACAACATCGGAGATAGGATTTGAAACCAGGTCTCTGACTCCAGAGCCAGGATTGGCTCTGTCTCCCAACGGATCATGTTAGCTTTCTTGGCTGGCCTGTCACACTGTTGACCCATATCATTACTCAGTTGGCAGTCCACTGAAACCTCTGGATCTTCTTCATATGGCCCCCAACACTTGCCCTTAGGTCAGCCTGGAAGTCCCTTCTCATTTAGGGGGAGCAGGGGAAGCCGTGTCTTTTTGGCAAACCTCAACGGCCCTTACCTTGAAGCCTCCCATGGGCAGTTCCCCAACCTTGGAGCTGGGGACGGGAATGGAGGCAGGAACCAGAGCCGGGGTGGGTCCAGGAGGGGGCACTGAGGCAGGTGTCCCTTTTTCCTTTCCCTCCGTGGCTGGACTGGCAGCAGTGGTTGGGGCTGTAGGGGCCTTTGCAGGCTGGGACATGGTTCCTACTTAGAGAAATCCAGAAGAAAAGCCCAAAAGCAGAGGTGAGCTCAGAACAGGGGCACCCTTCATGTCTCCTCCCCCTTCCCTTACCCACACCCATCACTGAAGTGGACAATCTGGGTCCGAATCTTATCTCTGCTACTTATTCCTAGTGTTGACCTCAAGCCTTAGTCTCCTTCTCTGTAAAATGAGGGGCTTCTTTCTAGATCTGAGGTTCTTAACTTTGGGTCCAAAGACCACTTTGGATAGATTTCAAGAGGTCTTTGAACTTAGATGAGGAAAAAAAAATTACATCCTTATTTTCACTAACCTATAAGTGACACTTAGCATTTCCTTCACTTATGAAAGTAGACCACAACACATGGGGTCCACAGAATTTACCAGACTGCCAAAATCGATAAAAGAGGATTTCTGTGGTCCCTTCCAGCTCCACGCAATTCTGAGTCAGTCCACCCCTCTTAATTTGTAGACTCCAAGGAAGCTGAGGCTTGCCCAGGACCATCCATCCACGTGGAATGGCAGAGCTGAGGCTGAGGCTGAGCCTTCTGGCCCCTAAACTTGGGTCCTTTCTAGAGGACAGAGTTTTTTGCCTTTCTGCCAACTATGGGCAAAAACATCAGTATCTGTCACTAGGGCACCCCTGCTCTCCACATCTGCCACAATATTAAAAAAAAATTAACAGATTGGATCTTGGAGCCTCTCTGGGCTGGGCTATTTCTGCTAGCAATACTAACCACTCATATGTCTACAACTCTTTAAAGGTTTACAAAGGATGCTTTCATGAAATAGTTCTACAAGGAAGCTAGTGCAGATGTTATTTTCTCCCATTTTACAGGTGAAAAAACTGAGGCCCAGAGAGGTTAAATGTCATGAAGATCAAGACCACATAACTAGTAATCACAATAGAAGCTTGGTTTGGCTCTCCTGGCCACATACAGTATATATCAGGAAGAGAGCTAGATGGCTCAGTGGTTATAGCACTGGACCCGGCATCAAGAAGACCTGAGTTCAAATGTGACTTCAGACACTTACTAGCTGAGAAAGTCACTTCAGTTCAGTCTGCCTCAGTGTCCTCATCTATAAAAAAAGTGAGGTTATTACTAACACCTATCTCCTAGGGTGGTTGTTAGGATCAAATGAGATATCTGCATATCTTAAAGTTCTATATAAATGTTAGCTGTTGTTATTAGTATCATTAGGAAGGACTTTGCATGTGCCTTTCTCTTTTTCCGGCTGGGCATTAGGTTTTAGCTCAGGGTTCACTCAGAGAGGTGTCCTCTTACCTGGGGAGCAACTTTTGTCCTGAGTGCAGGGGCCTGGGCCGGGGCTGTGGTTGGCAGTCTGGGGCCACTCCTAGGGTTTTATAGTCTGGCAGCAGCAGAAGCCTGTGGGGGGCCACACAAAGGAGGTGCTGGGTCAGCAGGCCTCAGGGGCTGCCCCTCAGGGCTGCTCTGTCATCACTTCCTTTGGGAGATGATCTGGGGGGTGGGAGGAGCCAGGGGTCAGGGCCTAGGTCCCCTCTCTTTGGCCTTCTCAATGCTGAGGGCAGCAGGTCCCATTATGCCGTGCACACAAAGCCCTGATGGGCCATTTTCCCACTTCAGCTCATCTGTTTCATGCCAAAGGCCCTACTGGTGAGTGGGTTTCCCCAGAAGGGTCTCCCGTCAAGCATGCCCCTTCTCACTGGCATCCTGACTCACACCAGGATCTTGCCCTGGTCACCTGGAGGCACTTCCTTTCTTTAGCTCAGTTTCTTTATCCTGATAGATTGTAAGCTCCTGGAGGGCAGGGAATGTTTACTTTTTGTATCCTCAGCACCCAGCCCAGTGTCCGGCACACAGTAGGCACTTAATAAATGCTTCTTTATTGCTCACTTGACTCTAAAGTAAGGCTCAAAGGACCATTAGGGTTGCAGACAATGCCAGAAGTCATCTGGTGAAACTCTCATTTTATACATATGCCCCAAAGGGGCTGAATGACTTGTCCACAGCTCTGGGCACAGTGGGCCTTCAGCCTAGTCAGTCAATCAACAAGTATTAATTAAGCACTTACTACATACAATGTATTGGGCTGACTCACTGGGGATGGAAAGAAAAGCAAAAACAATTCCTAACTTCAATGAGCTAACATTGGAATAAGACCAGATCTTCGGAATCCACTCTTCCTGCTACCCCCTGGGTAGGGGGTGCCATAGTGCATAGAGCGTCAGGCTAGAGACAGGAAGATTCATCTTCATGAGTTCAAATCCAGCCTCAGACATTGCTAGCTGTGTAACTCTGGGCAAGTCACTTCACCCTGTTTGCCTCAGTTTCCTCATCTGTCAAATGAGCTGGAGAAGGAAATGGCAAGTCACTCCAGTACCTCTGCCAAGAAGACCCCAAATGGGGCCGCAAAGAATCAGACATGACTGAAATGACTGCCCAACAACTTTTACTCTACCCTTATTTCCTTCAGGGTTGCATTCATCACATCTGCAACTGGAGGAGATTTTAATAGCAATCCTCATTCCACACAGAAGGATTGGAAGGGATAATGAATATGGAAGTGCTTTGGCTGATATATTTTTTGTATTCTTTTTTCTTTTGGCTAGGCAAGGGGTTAAGTGACTTGCCCAGGGTCACACAGCTAGTATGTGTTATGTGTCTGAGGCCGGATTTGAACGCAGGCCCTCCTGAATCCAGGGCCGGTGCTCTATCCACTGCGCCACCTAGCTGCCCCTGCTTTGGCTGATATGAAGAGTTGTCTATAAGGGCTTAAAGTCCATATGGCCCGAGAGATAAGCCCTCAGTCTCAATTTCCTCTCCATAAAATAGGGACACTAATATTTGTGCTGTCTATCTCACAGTGTCATGGAAGGATGAAAGGAAGGAAATAAGCATTTATTAAGCTCCTGCTGTGTGCCAGATACAGTGTGCTAAGTGCTTCACAAAGAGCCCAGGGCTCTTTTCAGGATAGCACAGAAGGGAGACACTTGTAATACTGTGCAATACACTTTGGATTTGAAGCTAGGAAGACTTGGAATTTTCTGTCTGTGTGTGACCTTAAGCATTTCACTTCATCTCTGGGCCTCAGTTTTCCCACTTATAACATAACAGAATTGGTCTAGATGACCTCTAACGTCCCTTTCAGCTCTCTATGTATGATGCTCTGAAGGGGCCGTTTCTGTCCTGTTCGCTTACCTAGGTCCACCTCCCCATTCAAAGGGATTGTGGTAGGTCAAGTTTTAGACTGAGGTTCAGAGAAGGATGGGACCTTAAAGGCCATTAGCGCCCCCCCCCATTTTACAAAGGAGGAAACTCAAGTCTAATGACTTTCTCAAGGTCATATAAATAGAAAGCTGGGCATTGAACCCAGGTTCTAACCATCCAGGGCTCTTTCCACTTCCTCACTTAGACACCTGAGGAATTCCAGGTGCTTCAGGCATTGGCCTTCAGGTGAGATCTGTGTTTCTCTTCCCTTCTCCTCCTTCTTCCTCCTAGTGACCTCCCCCTGCCCTCCCCACAATGCTTCCTCCTCTAGCTTTGTGCCCACTCCCGGCTGGCTGCCAGGCCCTCTTGTCTGCTCAGACACCTCTCTTCCTACTATCTCTCATCCCAGGCCAGGAGAGAGGGGGGAGAGTGGGTGGAGGTGGGCACCTGTTGCATTTGCCTTTGGAGTCTGAGCCAAGGGCCTGTGGGAAGGTTCCTGAGGATGTGGGGGCCACCCACATTTCCTTACTTTGAAGTAAGGCCAGCAGCTTCCACAAGCTTCCAGCTGCTGCCCAGATTGCCAAGGCCTTGGCTGCCAGAGCTGATTCTCAAGAGGAAACTGGGGGTTGAGTTCTCCATGGACCCCAGGACAAGTTGTTCTCTGGCTGAGGGGGCTGGCACTATTTCCATTGAGAACTGACCCACCATTTTTCTTGATCCATCACTGACACTCATCAGACTGTCCTGGTTCCCAGGCCCAGGCTGTCCCCACTGCACTATTTCATTTCTCAGGCTGCCATGATCTCCTGTGAAATGCACTTACCTCAGATGCAGATAGCCATTGCCTCAGAGGCTTATTAGCTGGAAGACCATAGATCTTGGAATGCTAGAGCTAGGAGGAAATTTAGAACAGAGGATGTTAGAGTTGGAAGGGACCTCAGAACATAGAACCTAGAATGTTAGACCTGAAAAGAATCTTAGAACATAGACCATGGATGATAAGAGTTGGAAGGGAATTTAGAATTTAGATGACAGAGATGGATGGGACCTTGGAATAGATTATTCAAACTATAGAGGACCTAAGAACATAAATTAGAAGGAAGCTAAAAACAATGAACATGGAAAATAGGACATTATGTCTGGAAGGGACCTTAGAGGAGAGAAGAAAGCATAGAATGTAGACTTTTGGATGGGAAGGACCTTTGAGCCTAGAATGTCAAGGCTGGAAAGCACCTCCCACTGGAGCTAGAAAGGACCTGATACACAAACTGGGAAGAATCTTGAAACATTGAACATAGAACATAGGATGTTAGCAAGAGAAGGCACCTTAGAACAAAGAGTACTAGACCTGGAAGAGCGCACAGAACAGAGAATAGAGCTAGGAGGAGTCTCAGGGCAGAGAATGTCTGGGCTGGGAGGGGCCTTAGAACAGAGAATGTCAGGACTGGGAGGGGCCTTAGGACAGGGGATGGCAGAGCTGGGAAGGGCCTTAGGGCAGGGGATGTCAGGACTGGGAGGGGCTTTAGAACAGGGGATGTCCGAGCTGGGAGGGGCCTTAGGACAAGGGATGGCAGAGCTGGGAGGATGTCACAGGTAGATTGGGACTTAGAACATAGACTGTCCGAGCCCCCAAAGATCTTTCTTTGTTGTTGTTGAGTCAGTTTCCAGTTGCGTCTAACTCTTCATGGTCCCTTTCGGGGTTTTCTTGGCAGAGACACTGGAGTGCTTTGCCATTTCCTTCTCCAGCTCATTTTATAGATGAGAAGACTGAGACAAACAGAGTTAAGTGACTTGTCCAGGGTCACACAGCTAGTAAGCGCCTGAGGCCAGATTTGAACTCAGGAACATGAGTTTTCCTGACTCCAGGCCCAGCGCTCTATCCACTGTGATGTTATCTAATCCAAATTCATCCTTTGCAGATGAGAAAACTGAGGCACAGAAGGGGGATTTGCTCAAAGCAGATGGTGACTGAGCAGGCCCCAGTGACCTGGGGCAGGCCTGTCCTCACACACTGTGGAGGGAGAAGATGAGTCCCAAGAGAGGAGGGCAGAGAGTAAGTGACCACACAAGAGAAGTGATTCAAACCCGGGTCTCCTGGCTCAGGTCCAGGCCTCTCCCACTGATCCATGCCGCCTCTTGTAGGCTCTTGTGACCCTCACTGTGGTTCTGAGGGGTTAGTAGCCTAGAACGTGACCCGTAGAACCATCTCATCTCCTGGCAGTGCCTGGCTAAGGGTTGGAAGGATCTAGAGTCAGAAAGTCTTGAGTTCAAACCAGCCTGAGAAACTTACTAACTCTGTGACCTTGGGCAAGTGACTTAGATCTCTGTTTGAGTCAGTAATCTCACTTGTAAAATGGGGATAATAATAGCACCTCCCACCCAGGGTTATTGTGAGGCTCAAAAGAGTGCTTTGCAAGCCTTCAATGTTATCTAAATGCTAGCTTTTACCAGTATGGCTGTCCTATGAGGGATTCTTACAACTGAAGCTGGTAAAAACCAAACTCTTCCTTTTGAGAGGGGATCTTCTCTGCTCTTCTTAGGGGAGTCTCTCCCACATCCACGAAGCCCACGGTAGGACCTCCAGCGGATTGATGGTAGCCGACAGACAGTATAAGCAATATTCCACACTCATAAGGCCCCAATCTTGTTTCCTAAGGATATCGGGAAGCCGGAGAGTGAGGACAGGGATATCATCCTCTTTCCCCAGATTTCCTCGGTCCCTGGTGGTGGAGGGAGGAGATGGGATGGCTGCTCCCTGGTAGATGGGCTGGCCCACTGCTCTACCCAAGGGGAGAGAGAAGGCTGATAAGCCCTGAGCTCAGGCTGGAGACTGAGGCAACCCAGATTTCTATGGGGTAGTTTTCTCTCCTGATCCTCCTCTTTGTTCTTCAGCAAGCTCAAACCCACACATGTGCTGACTAGGACTTTTAGGAGCCAGACTTTCACCCCCTCCCACCCCCTTCCCTCTGGCCAAGGGCTATAAGAACCCCAGACACAGCTTTGTCTGCTGGGCCAGCTCCCTGTACTTTCCCTGGGGCCCCAGCTCGGTAAGTGGAGAGTGTGGTCAGGGACAGTGTGATCCCCATGAGACAGTATTGAGACCCAACAAGGCAGGGGGATGGGCAAAATGAACTCCAAGTTCCTTCCAGTTATAAGATTCTGAGATTTTTAATGTTTCCCTGCACTAACATTTTGTGATTCTGTGAAGCTTTCATGGTCTATGATTCTAACTTTCTGTGTGTCTGTGATGCTTAGATCTTTTTCCAAGAATCCTTGTTAGACATTCTGTGGTCCAAGGCCCCTCCCAGCTCTGACATTCTCTGTTCTAGGATCCTTCCCAGCTCTGACATTCTATATTCCAAGGTCCCTCACAGCTCTAACATTCTCTGTTCTAAGGACTCTTCCAAGCTTTGATACTCTCTGTTCTAAGAGCTCTCCCAACTCTGACATTCCCTGTTCTAAGGTCCCTCCCAGATCAACATTCTACATTCCAAGGTTCCTTATCGCTCTAACATTCTCTGCTCTTCCAGCACTGTCCTAATGCTCTGTTTGTGTTCTAATGGTCTAGCACTCTTTTCTGCTCCAATTCTCAAGTTTCTATGATTCAGTGTACTGTGTGGAATTCTTTATCCTTCTAGGTCCTTCTTCTTTGCTTGGAGAGGGGAACCTAGGGCTGAGAGCTTACCTAAAGAAGGGGCAAGGACCCTCTGTGTACAAAATTCCCTTCTCCTCCTCTTCTGGTTCCCTCTTCTGCTCCTTCACCTGCTACCTTTCCTTTCACCAGCTAGAAGAGGAGTCAATATGTCTCAACAATGCACCAAATCAGCTGGCCACTGGAAGGTAGGCACAAGGACTTGGGGGGGGGGGGCAGGGAAGGGGTGGATCAAAGGGAGTATCTGTGAATCACTGGTGCAGATGACTACTGATGTCCCCTCCGTAATCCCTCCCAATCCCACCCCAGACTCTATCTTTACCTTCATAAAGGCATCTTGATAGAAGCAGAAGCCTTGAACTAAGGAGCCCTGTATTTGAGCCCAGACTCTGGCTGCTGACTCACTGTGACCTTGGGAATTTCACCTTCCCTTCTTTGTGCCTCTGTTTCTCTATCTTTAAAAGAAGGAGGCTGGGCTGGGCCATCTCTAAGGTCCTTTAGAGCTCTGACCATGCATAAGCCTGGGGAAGGGAGAGCAGCTATAAATCTATTGTGCCCAGTGCCCAGGGACAGGACCCTACAGTCTCTAGAGAAAAACCCCAGAAGTAGGAGGGGCTCCGTGGTTAGGAGGATAGGATTGGTTGAAGAGAAGGATCAGTATTGACTTGCCCCAGGTTACACAGTAGGGCCACACCTGGGACTTGGATTTCCTGGCTCCCAGCCCTCTATCTTCTAGGACCATGATGCTTTGTCTCCATCAGATGACCCTAAGCTGGAAGGGAAAACTAACTAACATAAGGATTGACCACGATTCATAGAAGGCTTGGCAGGCTGGAAACATTGGGCTGAATATAGTAAGATGAAATTGAATGGGGACCAATGCAAAGTTTTACCTTTGGGTTCAAAAAATCAACTTTCCATGTTCAAGATGGAGGAGACAGAGTCAGACAGTAACTTTTATAAAAAAAGTTTAGTAGTCTTCATGCTCAGTTGAGTCAGTGGTATGATGGAGCTGGTGGTAAGGGCAGCTAAGTGGCACAGTGGCTTGAGCATTGGGCCTGGAGTCAGGAAGACATCTTCCTGAGTTCAAATCTGGCCTCAGACACTTAGCTATGTGACCCTGGGCAAGTCACTTGACCCTGTTTGCCTCAGTTTCCTCACCTGTAAAATGAGTTGGAGAAGGAAATGGTAAACCACCACAATATCTTTACCCAAAATGGGGTAACAAAGAGCCAGATATGACTGAAAAATAACAAACGATATAGCAGCTACAAAAGCTAATAAGAAATACAACCTTTAGGATTTGGAAGGTGATTATATTCCCATTGTCCTCTATCCTGCTCAGTCAGTCAGTGAACATTTATCAAGCACTTACCATGTGCCTAGCACCATGCTAGATCCCAGTCAGACCACATCTGGAGTATTGTGCTAGGTCTGAGCACCTCATTTTAGGAAGAACATTGATGGAGTGTCCAGAGTAGGGTGCTCTAGAGATTATGACAGAGTGAATAGTGTCCTGGACTTTACATCCAGGAGATCTGGGTTCAAGTCTCACCTCTGGCAATTGCTAGCTTCTGGCCATGGACAATTCACTGTTCTTCCATTTATTTATCTGCTAAAATGAGAGCTTTGGGCTAGATAGCTTCTAAAGTCTTGTGTGCCTTGGAATGTATGATCTCATCATCCTGTAATTCCTTCAAATCAAAATGGTGAAGGAAAGGCCTTAAGTCTATGAGGATTGGTTGAAAGAAATGAGGATTTTCCTCTGTGTGTGTGTGTGTGTGTGTGTGTGTGTGTGTATGTGTGTGTGTTTGTGTGTGTAGGGTAGGAGGGTGAAGGGAGGGCCTTAAGTCTATGAGGATTGGTTGAAAGAAATGAGTTTGTTCCTGTGTGTGTGTGTGTGTGTAGGGTAGGAGTGGATTGAGTGTGTAGAATATGCTAGCTGTCTTCAATTATTCCAAGGACCATGACATAGAACAAAGATTAGATTTATATTTGGTGGGGCAGTGAATAGAGCACTGGTGCCTTAGATACTTATTAGCTGTGTGATCCTGGATAAGTCACTTAACTTCAATTGCCTCTAAAAAAAAAAAGATTTGTATTTGGCCTCCTGGGGCAGAACAGACAAAAATTACAAAGAGGGAGATCTAGTTTTGGCTTCAGGGGAAAATTTGAGCTGGCCCAATGTGGCACATGGTGAGTTCTTCACTGGCAGTCTTTACACAAAAACTGGATGCCACATGTTGGGTGTGTTGTAGCGGGGATTCTTTGGGGGTAAGGGTTGGACTACATGGCCTCTGAGATCCCTTCCAGATTCTGTAAGATTAAATGGTTGGGCTTTGCCGGCTGGATGCTTAGGATTCCTTACTCAAATCTTTGCCCCTTCATCAATTTAAATTTGTCCTTCCCTCCCAGTTTTCTAGGAAATCGGGCGCTGGAGACTGGGAGGGAGGGTGGTTTGGGCTCAAACCCAGGATTGCCCTCACTTTCTGTGTCTTTGACTTAGATCGTGATCTGGGACCAGGAGGGTTTCCAGGGCCGACGGCATGAATTCACAGCTGAGTGCCCCAGTGTTCTGGAGGTTGGCTTTGAGACCGTCCGATCCATCAAAGTACAGAGTGGAGCGTGAGTTTGCTGTGTGGCTTGGGAAGATCCTCCCGGCAAGCAGGGAAATCTCTCCTTCTAGGAACTCAGCTCACAGGGACCCAGGGTCTGGGAATCCCGCCTTTTGGGTTCCCTTTCTTGCCTCTGACATTGGACCTGTTGCAGAATGCTAAGCAAGTTTTCCCCACTTTATTCCCCTCAGTTTTTTCATCTTCAGCTTCTCTATCATTGAACCCATTTCAGAGCTCTCCCCCCACTTCCCATAGTTCTCCCAGCTGCTTTCTTCTATCCACAGAGGAAAACTCGAATTGATTCATACCAAAGTATGACTATGTGTTGTTAAAAAAAAAAAAAGGCCTCATGTAGAGAATAATGCTTAATCCAAAGACATGAAGGATCTGGAGGGATTTCATAAACTTGAGTGGATGAGAGAATTTTGGCTAAATGACCTTCCTGGGGCTGTTCAAATCAGGCCAGAAGGCAACCACGTACTCCACCCATGGTTAGACTGCATAGCTTTTTTTGTGAATGTGGACCCAGGTCAAGAGTCACTTTAACGTCCCCAGGTCTCTCACACTTAAGCCCTGAGGATATGATCGTATTGGTCATGAAGCTAATGAAAACACCATGAGATAGCTTAGACCAGGATGAGTTCAAATCAAATTCCCTTTGCCTGGAGAGTCTATTTAAATGACCCCTTCCCCCACCCCCTTAGATCACCAGATCGAAGTGGGGAGTAAGATGTGGAAAGACTGGAAAAGTGAGGTGGGGCAGGGTGTGGTAGACTTTGAACGCCAAGCAACTTTCTGTACTAGGTCCTGGAGACGGCAGGGAGCCTGCTGTGGAGTAGGGTGGTGCCTGGGGTCCCACCTGAAGTAGGAGGCACAGCCGGAGCTCCTAGGGAGAGGCTAGATCCTCCTGAGTCACCCCTCCCTCCGTCTCCTTGCCTGCAGGTGGGTAGGCTTTGAGCACGCTGGGTTCCAAGGGCAGCAGTTTGTCCTGGAGCGAGGCGAGTACCCAAGCTGGGAAGCGTGGAGCGGTAACGTCGCCTACCACGTGGAGAGACTGACCTCTTTCCGTCCTGTGGCTTGTGCGGTGAGTAGCTCAGCTCGGCCCAGCTCAATTCAATTCTGCAAAGCGCCTGTTGGAGCAGGTGGCACCCAGGCTGCCCGAGTGGCCACTGAGGCGCCTCCCAACCCTCAGTGCGTGCTTCGGTGATTCTGCTTTGACCCAGCAGCCACTGTGTGGCAGCCACTGCTCTAGGCACTGCGGGTGGAAAGACAAAGACAAGAGAGCCCCTGCCCTCAAGCAGCTTACATTCTTCTGCTGGAAAATAACGAGTGTCGGGGCAGCTAAGGTGGCACAGTAGATAAAGAACACCGGTCCTGGATTCAGGAAGACCTGAGTTCAAATTTGGCCTCAGACATATAGCACTCACTAGCTGTGTGACTCTGGGCAAGTCATTTAACCCCAATTGCCTCACACACACACAAAAAATAATAATAATAATATAATAATATAATAATAATAATAATAATGATGATGATGATGATAACAACAACAACAATAATAACGTGTATCAGCCAAGTGAGTCCAACATATAAACACAGTAAATATGCACAAATGTCGGTGGGAAAGAGGGAAAGAGTCAAGGGCTGGAGCTGGGTTCTTAACCTTTGTGTCATGGACCCCTTGGTGATCTGAAGACTAGGGACCCCTTCTCAGAAGAGTGTTTTTAAATGCATAGAATAAAATACATATTCCAAAGAAAACCAATTCTAGAGAAATACAGTTCTGTCTGTGTCTGTATATGTGTGTGTATATGCATACATATATCCTACATTTATGTATTCAGATAAATATGTATGGTATATTATATATCTGTGTGAGTATATACACACATGCACATACACAAAACTGCATTAAGACTTTGGGGACCTTATCATATATATTATATATGATTCAGAAATATATAATCTAATCTATATTAGATTAATCACATTGATATAATTATATTGTTATATCAAATTGTAACAATGTATGTATTATAGCAACATGTAATTTATTAACTTGTTAGTTTTGGATTGTGTATTATATAATGTATAGAATATACTAATATTTCTTTATTATGTTAATGTCATGTTAATATATTAATATTGTATATCATGATGTTATATTAATATTACTATATTATTATGTTAATAATGTTACCCAAAAAGTCTTAATGTAATTGGGTGATAAGAACTGAGCCTAGATAGCCTAATAATAATAATTCAGGTAATAATACTACCATTAATAAATACCACTTCAAATCTGTTTAGTTTATAGTTTACAAAGCTATTAAAATGTCTCAAAAGGTAGTGAGTTCCCCACTGGTGGAGGTCTCCAAGCAGATGACCACTTGTCAGGGATGTTGCAGAGACTTTATTCCAGTTTAGGTAGAAGTTGGAGTAGATGGTCCTGTTCCTCCCAAATCAATGATTCTATGATTTGGAAGAAATTTAAATACCAGGAATGATATAGTTAATCACTGGGGTAGATAGGGGGTGGTATGGGGAGGTAAAAAAAATATATATATATATATATGTATATATATATATATGTATACATATATATGTATATATATGTATACACACACATATATATATATGTATATATATATATATATGTATACACACACACATAAAAATATATATATATATATATGGAAGGGAAATTTCCTTAGGACAAAATCTTGGATGATCCATACTAGAGATTGTGAAGGAGAAATATTGCTGTGAAAAGGTCAGTAAGCAAGCATTTATTAAGCACTTACTATGTGCCAGGCATTGTACTTGGCACTATATATACAAAGATGAAAGCAAAACAGTCTCTCCTTTCAAGGAACTTATATTCTAAAGGTCTGAGAGAGGAATCAAGTGGGACCAGCAGACTTAGCTTTGATAGAAGGAATGACATTCTCACCATTAGAGCTATCCATAAGTGGAACAGGCTGCCCTGAGAAGTAGTGACTTCCCCCTTCCTTACTCCCCAAGAGAGGTCGCCTGCCCACTTACTGGAGATGTTAGGGTATGGATTCCCATTTAAATACAAAGTGTCCTGGATAAGGTCGCTTCCCAACTCTGAGAGCCTCTGATTTCCCTCTTTGTTCCCTATAGAATCACCGAGACTCCAGGATGACCATCTTTGAGCAGGAAAACTTTCTGGGCAGGAAGGGAGAGCTGAGTGATGACTACCCCTCCCTGCAAGCCATGGGCTGGGACAACAATGAAGTGGGCTCCTTCCGAGTGCACTGTGGGGCGTAAGTACATCTAAGAGCCTGGGTTTCCTCCGGGGAGGGATGATGGGGGCAGAGAGGCCAACTAGACAGGAAACAAGCAGACAGAGGGAAGAGCCTGATAGTATAGTAGCTTGCATTTATATATTAAGGCTTCCCAAGTGATTTACATGCATTATCTCATTTAATTCTTACACGTCATCTACCCAAAAGGCTCACAGCACTTGGAACTAGGAAGGTCTTTAGGGATAATTTAGTTCAAACTCCTCATTTTCTAGATGAGGAGAGTGAGGCCCAGATAAGTTAAGTGACTACCAGAGGTCACACGGAGAGTAAGGAATGTAGGGTAGCCAAGATGAAAATGCCTGATTCCAGTGTTCTTTCTATTATAATGAGCTCCCCCATCCCCAAGGCCCTCCCAGTGAGGAAGGGAGCCAATAGTTGAAACTTTCCCCAATATCCACCAGTTTCTTTGTTGTGTCCCTTCTGAAGACCCTTTTCTTGGGGAACTACATATTAAAAAGGGGCCAGTGTTCTCAACCCAGAACCTGCAGCCTCCCAGCATAGCCCCTGCCCTTCTCCTGTCCCATGACCCCTGGGAGAGCATCTGATCCTGTCTCCTGGGGTGAAGGAAAGACACCTCCTTCTCAACTTATGTTTGCTTTCCAGCTGGGTTTGTTCCCAGTTCCCAGGCTACCGAGGCTACCAGTACATTCTGGAATGTGATCACCACTCAGGAGACTACAAACACTTTCGGGAGTGGGGGTCCCATGCTCAAACCTTCCAGATTCAGTCCATCCGCAGAATCCAGCAGTGATAACCCCAACTCCCATGCTGGATATCTGGCCCAGGCCACAAAGAATAAATGTTTGTTCAACCTCATCCCTTTGCTTATTCATTCATCTCTTTCCAAATTGTGCCCACGCCCTCCCTGCCACTGAAATTCCATTGAATTCTCTAAGCCCTCACAAAGTGCCTGCTGTGTGCCATCTTAAACTCAACACTCCAAAACGTAACTTGAGTGCCTCCTGTGTGTTATCTTAAGTTCAATACATCCAAAACAGAACTTGAGTACCTACTGTGTGCCATCTTAAATTCAACAATCCCAAACAGAACTTGACTGCCTACTGTGTGCCATCTTAAACTCAACATGTCCAAAACAGAACTCATTATTTTTCCACCCCAATCCTTCTCCTTTCCTGAACTTCCGTATTACTTACCAGGGGAACCCCTATTGTCCCAGTCACCCAGGATCTCAACCTCAGTGACATTCATCATGAATGCATTTACAGGCTTTGGTTCTAGAGATGGTAGAACCACTGCCCCCCCCCCCCGACTCAGTCTCTTTGCTTTGGAGTGACACATCCTCTTCTTGTGATGGGGTTGGGGGGTTGCAAGCACAGTCACCAGGTCCTTCTACCTCACATTACTTAGAAGCAAAGCTCATTTGCAGTATGGCATACATGAACTCAGGATCATTAAAAGTCAAGCTTCCAGCGGCTGTTTTGACCATTGACAGTAATGGGGTTACAAAAGTCTTTCGGCAGGTCCCCTTTGACTACTTACAAGTCTACATTAGCAGTAGGGTTAATTTCAGTTTAAACATGAGCTTGGACAGACTTTGGGAGATGGCGGAGGATAGAAGGGCATGGCATGCTATGGTTCATGGGATCACAAAGAGTCAGACATGACTGAACAACAAAAACAAACTTCAATTCATCCTGAAAATATTATGTACTATAGGACTAGAACATGGGCATCATTATAGCCTTTAGTCATTTGAATAGAATTAACTTACATGATAACAAAAGGAAAAAACAAACAAACAAACCTTAGTATCCTGGTCTCTGTCTGCTAGCTAATGATTATATAGCACTTAAGATTTGCAAAAAACACTTGATTCTCCTAACAACCTTGTAAAGTAGTGGCTATCCTTACCCACATAAGGGAAGGGAATCAGCCATTATTTAGCACCTACTATGTGCCAGGCATTGTGTTGAGCACTTTTTTAACAAATATTATCTCATTTGATCACATTTCACAGATAAGAAAATCGAGGCTGAGAATAATTAAGTGACTTGTTCAGGGTCACACACCTAGTAAGTGTCTAAGGTGGGCTTTGAACTCAGATATTCCTTACTCTAGGCCAAGTACTTTATTCCACTTTTGCACCTAGCTAGATATATTGTAAGACATTTATAAACCCATTTGTTGTTCAGTAGTTTCAGTCGTGTCCCAACTCTTCATGACCCCATTTGGGGTTTTGTGGGCAAAGATACTGGAGTGGTTTGTCATTTCCTTCTCCAGCTCATTTTACAGATGAGGAAACTGAGGCAAACAGGTTAAGTGACTTGCCTAGGATTGCACAGATAGTAAGTGTCTGAGGCTGGATTTGAACTCAGGTCTTCCTGGCTCCAGGCCCAGTGCTGTATCTACTGTGTTACCCAGCAGCCCCATTTATAAACATAGCATTTAAGCATTCATATAAAACAATTTCATGGATTTCAAACATAAACTCAAAACTTACTGCCAGTATAATAACATTATTTATTAGTCAAATGCATCTCTAACTCAGCTACATGGAAAAATCATTCCATCCATCTACTGACGTTGGCATTCTATATTAGCTGCATCTACAAACCAAGAGGGGAGACTTTTACTTTTGGGTTCAAAGGTATGGCACCAGTGGTTACCAGTCATTTAGAGCATAAGTCAACTAAGCTGGGAAGAATAATTGTCCCCAGTAAATTTATCTGGCCCAATATAAATCCCATTATAAACTGCACACTTTGAAAGGTTGCTACATGATTCCAGCTACTTTTCCACAGTCATAGAATCTGTGAAATTAAGTTGGAAATCATTAGCAAAAACAAACTCCAAATCTCAGAGGAGGTAATGGATATTCTCCAAATGATGTTTCCCAGCTTTACAGGCATGGTAACCTCGCTATTCTCCTTTTATCTCAGTGAGGTCTAAAAATTCCTTAAAATTAAAATTCTGAAATCCCAGGCTTTTCTTTGTTCTCTGCCAAATGCAGAATTATTTACACATACATACATACATACATATAATATGTATCATATTTTACTTTTAAGGTCGAATGTATATACTTTTCATTGCCTTTTAACTGAACCTCAAGTCTACACTTTGTCAATGTAACTAACCTTTAATTTCTTTTCATTCATCTTTAATTGACTCTGATGAACCAAACTGAGCCTTGTAAACCACAGAATTGAATTTCTTTATATATCGAGTCAATATTTCACTTACTACTTTTGTTAATTTCTTAGCCTTTTGCTTCTCTGCTTCCAAATCATTTAAAAAAAAATTCAGATCCAGTATCTTCTTTCTCTGACGTATTTCTGTTTTGCAAATGAGCACTTTTTTTTGGTGCATTTTAAATTCACTGCAAAATCTTGCTTTCCTCTGATCAGAGCTGAAATTTACAGCTTTGTAGAGATTTCTCACTTCATCATTTAAACTATGTCTGATTTGGATTCTTAAGAATTTGCAAATGAATGATCTAGCCTAATTCCTTTTAGGTGACTGCTTCTAATTTATTTGGCTAATTACATCCTACCAAGACATCTAGGTGGTGGAGTGTGAAAGTGTTGTCTCTGGAGTCAGAAGGACTCATCTTCCTGAGTTCAAATCTAGCCTCAGACACTTCCTAGCTGTGTGACCCTGGGCAAGTCACTTGACCCAGTTTGCCTCAGTTTCCTCATTTGTAAAATGAGCTGGAGAAGGAAATGGTCAACTACTCCAGTATCTCTGCCATGGAAAACCCCAAATGGAATCATGAAGAGTCGGGCATGATTGGATAACAGCTGAACAATCAAACCATCCAGAGAAAGCCATTGTGATCTGGCAAGCCAAGCTTTTAAAATAAAATGGAGCCTTTCTTACTCCCTCCCTGCCTGCCCTTCCCCTCCCCAACACTTTACTTTGTTTTTCTTTTCAAGTTGGGGGAGTTAAGAGAATGGTTAGTTGCTTCATGGTTCTTAAGATTAGCTTCAAGCTTTTCCCCTTGCAAATGGCTATTTTGGCTAAGTAGCTAATTTGGCTATTTTGCTATCTTTACTGTTGGTATCACTGAAGGAAAAACTTTTAAATTGACTTCAATTGTATTTAAGGACTTAGAACAATTAATAGAAACACAATTAAACAAGTAATACAAACTCACACAAAACACAACAAATATTTCTTTTGTTAGCAATAGTCACTCACACAACCAAAAATCCATAGAGTCCACTCTTCATTTAGATTAAACAATGACCCTTTTAAAAATAAGCTTTAGACAAATCATGTTGAATTTGCATGTTTCATTTCTCTAATGGTTGAAATAGAAACATGGCCTTTTCAGAGACAGAGATATTTTTACTTACTCTGTTCCCCAGTCTGAAATTGCTCCAATTTTTTCCCACTTTGGACCTTTAGTGCACTGTGGAAAATCTGTTTTCAAAGCTCACTGACTGACGAGACAATCTTGAGTCCAGCTTTACCCTTAGAGCAGTGAACCTGGTCTTTTTTCAGGGAGCAGGGCACAGAGCCATCATTTTATTGCTGAAGCTCCTCTGATCTTTTTTTGTAAAATTATTTTTATTTGTTTCATTAAATAGTTTCCAGTTACATGTAAAAATGTTTTACCAATCATTTTTTAAAATTTTAGTTCCAAACACCCTCTCTCCCTTCTACTTTCCCCCCCTTCTTGAGAAGGCAAGCTATTTGATATCGATTGTACATATGAAGTCATGCAAAATATACTTCCATATTAGCCATATTGCAAAAGAAAACACAAACAAAATAAAACAATAAAAATAAAGAGAGTAAAAAAAAAGTATGTATCAGTCTCCATTCAGAGTTCATCAGTTCTCTCTTTGGAGGTAGATAACATCTTTTATCATAAATCCTTTGGAATTGTCTTAGGGTAGCTAAGTCTTTCACAGCTGATCACACTTAATATTGCTGCTACTGCATAGTAGGAGGACTTTGGCCCTCCTAATTGTGCTCACTTCACTTTGCATCAGTTCATATAGTCTTCCAAGGCTTCTTGAAACCATCCTGCTTGTCATTTCTTACAGCACAGTAGAATTCCATTACAATCAGATAACACAACTTGCCCAGCCATTCCTTAACAGATAGGCATTTCCAATGCTTTGCCATTACGAAAAGAACTGCTATAAATATTTTTGTACAAATAGGTCCTTTTCACTTTTCTTTGATCTCTTAGAGATACAGACCTAGTAGTGGTATGGCTAGGTCAATGGGTATGTATGGTTTTATAGTCCCTTGGGCATAATCACAAATTGTTCTACAGAATGGTTGGACTAGTTTACTCACCAACTAGGTGTACTTACTAGCAGTGCATTAGTGTCCCAATTTTCCCATATCACCTCCAGCATTTGTCATTTTCCTTTTCTGTCATGTTAGCCAATCTGATAGGTGTGAGGTGGTATGTCAGAGTTGTTTTAATTTGTATTTGTCTAGTCAGTAGAGATTTAGAATTTTTTTATGTGACTGTTGATAGCTTTAATTTCTTCTTCTAAAAACTGCCTGTTCAGATTCCTTTGACTATTTATCAACCGGAGAATGGCTCTTTTTTGTTGTTGTTTTTAATTTTGGCTGTTACCTACAAATTTGAGAAATGAGGCCTTTTCAGAGAAACTTGCCATAAAATTTTTTCTCCAGTTTCCTGTTGTCCTTCTAAATTTGGCTGCATTCATTTTGTTTGTGCAAAAGCTTTTTAATTTCATGCAATCAAAATTATCTATTTTACTTCTCATAATCCTTTCTGTCTCTTGTTTGATCAAAAACTCT